TGGGGCCCCCAAACTTTTTTTTTTTAAAAAATTTTTTTTTTTTTTTTTTTTTTTTTTTTGCTATAGGCATGTGCGCTTCCCGGAGAAAGATAAAGAAAAAGTGAAAAATCACCCCCTACCACCAGCTGGGGGATGGCCACACTGCAATCCCTTCTCCTCCATTTTCTTCTTGGAATTTTGGGCATGCATACACACGTGCCTGGCATCTTTTTCAGGCCACTGGTCCGGAATTCAAACCGTGGAGTCCAGCACCTTAATAATCACACCCTCTGCTGGCCTGGGACAAACTGTTTTAGCAGCTTGAAAAATGAAGAAAAATGAGAAAGGAAAATAAATAATACCAGAATTGAAAAGAGAAACACAGCTAGGAAGAGCAGTTTTCAAAGATGAAAGAATTCTGGGAACCAGCAGTTAGCGTAATGGCTATGTTGCTGGACTCCCACGTAGTCGACCGCGGTTTGCGTCCCGGACCCTGTGGCTTAAAACTCACGCCGGGCACGTGTGCGTGCGTGCCCAAGATCCCGAGAGGAGAATGGAGGAGAAGGGATTGCGGCGTGTCCATCCCCCATGGGGGGGTGATTTCTCGCTTTCTGTCTCTCTGTCTCTCTCTGTCTGTTTGGCGAGTGCATGCGCCCTATAGCGGAAAAAAAAAAAAAAAAAAAACTCTCTCTAAAAGCACCTCTACCTGGAAAAGCTTCCATATGGGAAGCTTCGGACTCACCCAGCAAGCCCCAAACTTGGTCTCTGCACATGTGCACAAAGAGCCGGTGCACGGGAGGCCCGGCACACCCACGGGTGGCTTTCAGCCAGGTGCTTGGTCCAAGGCTGAGCCTCCAAAGCAAGATCCTGCCAAGACACTGGCCAGGTCTAATACTGTGAGTGGGAAGCCACCCTTCTTCTGGGAAAGTCATGACACAGGTGGCTTGAGACCAGAGCATAAGGCTTCTACGAGACCTGGAAAAGGACTCTGAAGCTCACATGGGCATTGCCTGTGCAGTACCTGCAGGGTGGGCAGGGTGGAATCACTTTAGATTTGTTACCAGCACCTCTGTATAAGATTCAAATTCCAGGGACCAGCAATTGGCATAATGGCTATGTCACTGGACTCCCATGTATTCGACCACGGTTCGAGTCCTGGACCTGGTGGGTTAAACTCACGTCAGGTGTGTGTACGTGCATGCCCAAGATCCTGAGAGGAGAAGGGATTGTGGCGTGGCCATCCCCGCTGGGGGGTGATTTTTCACTTTCTGTCTCTCTGTCTCTGTCTCTGGAGAGCACACACACCCTATAGCAAAAACCTCTCCCCCCCCCAAAAAAAAGATGCAAATTCCAGTTGTCATCAGATGAACTAGCGTCCGTCCACAGGGAAAGAAGAGGTTTGTGGGTGTCTTTTCTTTTCCCCCAGAACTGTGCTGTGCATCACCACATAATTCAGTATTAATTCAGAGTGATGACTCATAGTCCGTGAACACTTTTTAGGAAGAAAATTAGATTATAATTTTAGAATTGCTGTGATAAAAATAAAATGTGAAGAGTTTAAAGAGAGAAATTTGGGGCCAGCTGGTGGTGTGGTGGCTAAAAGCATCGGGATCCCATATGGTTCACTGTGTGGTTCAAGTCCTGGTCTTGGTGGCTTGACAAACACACCAGGCGCAGGTGGATGTGGGCCCAAAATCCCTAGAAGGGAATGGAAGAGAAGGGACTGTGGTGTGGCCATCTTCCCTGGGGGTGTGCTTTCTCATTTCATCTCTGTCTCTGTCTCTCTCTCTTTCTTTCTGGTGGCTACATGTATCTTGGCAAATTTAAAAAAAGGGAGAGAAAGCGACTTCCGTTTTCTAGAACATTCCATCATCAAAAAGCCTTTCAGAAAGCATTCCTCTCCTGTAGCCTTACTTACTTATTTATGAATTACTCCTAGAGGGCACCTGTGCTGGCCAGAGACATAGAGAGAGGGAGAGGGAGAGGGAGGCGTAGTAACAGCACGATCCCTTCCACTCCACTTCTCCATCCTCTCGGGACCTTGGGCACACATATGCACTCAGCATGCTTTTCAAGTCTTCAGATTTGGGATTTGAACCATGTAGACCATCATGTGGGATCCAGCTCCCTTAACCACCAAGTCACAAGACTGGCCCCTACACATCCATTTCTAGATTTATCCAGCATAGGCCACTGCTCCGCATCACACCAGTCCTCCCTCTCCTCCACCACCCAGTACAGCAATGCCACTATCCGTAACCCCTCTACCGGCAATATTTCCTTCACGCCCACTCTCCCTCCTCCCTGTCTTGAAAGATGGGCGTCCATGACACCCTCAGCAAAGACAGGAAGGTGGCGGCAGGTGGGTGCAGTCGTGCAGGCGGACCTGCCCCTCACCTGTGTCCCGTTTCGACCGTCTGCTCCCAGTCCTGTCGAGCCAAGAACAGCCGCATCTTCAGGACCAAGGCTGGCAGGAAGTCTCCCGAGGCTGCAAGGATCTGGTTCACCACCTCCAGAGCCCCCGAAAAGTTCTGCTGCATCATTAAGTACGTCGCCTGTCAGGTTTGGAGGGGAGCCTCTGTCAGTGCCCGCAGAGGGAGGTGAGTGTGTTAGCATCTCCACCAAGACAGGGTCAGAGACTGACACTCTGACACTAAAGGGCCTTCAGGGGGACCCGGGAGTCCTCAGAGCCTGGCCCAGGGACGCAGCCTCTGGCAGCACTGGGAAGGAGTCCTCGCTCCGGGATAAATTGAAGCTTACAACTGTCCTGGGTTCTGGGATGGCCAGGCATGGGATTCAGGGAGAGAGCTGAGCCCCCTCACCTCCCAAACTTGGGAAACTCGCCAGGCTTCAGATAGGGCATAGCCATGTGGGGTCATCTGAGGAGACAGAGCTGGGGTTCCTGGGCATTTTTCTGTCCCACAAAATTGCCCATTAACTACCCATTTGTTTTCCCGAATTTCATCACTGGAAACTGCTCACTGAGGCTCAGTTTAGCAGCTGAGTCAGTTCGGGTGTGGGGCAACTCCCTGTGTAGAAGGCTGTGGAGTTTGTTCTCTGTCAAGGCCTGTTAAGCTGGGGTCACGGCCTCTGCAGGCCAGCACCAGCCACCAGGTGCTTTAGGAAGTGCCATGACACAGGTGTCCTGAGGAAGAACAATGCTTCTAACAGCCTGGACAAGGACTCTGAAATGATGGCTTCCGTTATCTCTACAGTAATTCTCCATTAAGATTTCTTACTAAGGGCCAGCCCCAAGGCCTAGTAGTTGAGGGAACTGGATTCCACATGGTTGACTATGGCTTGGATCCCAGCTCCAGTGGCTTGAAAGCATGCTGAAACATGTGTGTAGGTGCCCCGAGTTCCAACAGGATGGAGAAATGGAGAAGGGATTGTGGCATGGCCATGCCTCATTGGGGGTGATTTCTCCCTTCTCCCTCACTCTGTCTTTCACTGGTAAGTGCACATACTCTCTGGCAACTAAAAAAAAAAAAAAAAAAATTTTAAATAAAAATAAATTAAGATTGGTGGGACTAGCAGATGGCATAATGGCTATGTCACTGGACTCCCATGTAGTCGACTGCAGTTCGAGTCCCGGACCTGGTGGCTTAAACTCACACTGGGCGCGTGTGCGTGAGTGCCTAAAATCCTGAGAGGGGAATGGAGGAGAAGGAATTGAGGTGTGGCCATCTCCCGGGGGGTGTTTTCTCGCTTTCTGTCTCTCCATCTCTGTCTATCTGACGAGCGCATGTGCCCTATAGCAAAACACCTCCCCATAAATAAATAAATAGTGGAAAATGCAAGCTATACGAAATAAATCTCTCTCTTTTTGATAGCCAGTTAGGTGAATTTAGCAGGTAGGAATAGAAAGAGAGCAGTAAAAACAAAAGGGAGGTCAGCAGATGGCACAGTGGTTACATCACTGGATTCCCACACAGCTGACCATGGTTCGAGTCCTGGACCTGGTGGCTTAAAACTCACACCGGGGGCGTGTGCGTGCGTGCCCACGATCCCGAGAGGAGAATGGAGGAGAAGGGATTGCGGCGTGGCCATCCCCCCTGGGGGGTGATTTCTCACTTTCCCTCTCAGTGTCTCTGTCTCTGTCTCTGTCTCTAGCAAGAGCACGTGCCCTAAAGCAAAAACATCTGAAAAAAAGAAGAAAAAGAAAAAGAAGATGTGGAGAAAAGGGGCAGTGAGTGACAGCAAGAAAGATGGCGGAGCGAGAAAGCCTGGGAAATCAAGGAAGGACAGACAGCCTTGGAGGAAGCAATCTTTTTTTTTTTTTTTTTTGAGAGGTTTTTGCTACAGGGTATATGCTCTCACCAGACAGACAGAAAGGGACAGAGAGATAGAAAGCGAGAAATCACCCCCCAGGGGGGATGGCCACGCCGCAATCCCTTCTCCTCCATTCTCCTCTCGGGATCGTGGGCACGCACGCACACGCCCCCGGTGTGAGTTTTAAGCCACCGGGTCCGGGACTCGAACCGCGGTCGACTACGTGGGAGTCCAGCGACATAGCCATTACGCCAACTGCTGGTCCCAAGAGAAATCAATCTTGAGAAGACTCCCCATGCAGAACGAGACAGAAGCTCAGGCCACACAGGAAGGAGGATGAGGATTGGAATGGGCCTGGGCTGGCGGCTGCCCCTCTCTGGACCTCTGTTCTTCATCTACCTAGAGACTGAGGGTCCAGCCCGAGGTCCCCTGCTGGGTCTCTGGCTCCGGCGGCTCAGCTGGGGACACTCCCGCCTTTGCCCTCCCTGCCCACCTTTCCCAGAAGCCCCAGCGCGTCTCTGTTGTCCTGAAGTCCTAGTTCCAAGTACTTGATGGATTTCTTCACATGGTGGGGCTTGTCCGAGGTGAGGTCCACCCAGCCTTTGAGCACGTAGCCCTAGGAAGAACAAGATGAGCAATGAAGGTACTGCGTGGCCTTGACCTAACCTGCTCCCGGCCTGCCCTCTGCCACCCTGCATCCCGGGGCGCTTCCGGGCAGAACCCCATCAGACCCTGGGACAGCAGGCCCCCTCTCATTGCCACCCTCCCATTGCTCCTGTGCCTCAATTTCTATCCAGCATCCTCTCCACCCCAATGAAATCCCTTCCCCTGATTAACAACTACTACTCTGGGGTTATTCTTTGTCGTTGTTTAAATAATTATTTAAAATATTCATTTATTTAGATTTGGCCAGACACACACACACACAGATAGAAAGAGAGGGAAAGTGAGAAAGCAAGCCACCAGGCCCAGCACTTGAACTGGGGTCAGCCATGTGGGACTGAGTGTCTACCACCTTAGCCACCATGCCACCTGCTGGTCCCCTACTCTGGGGTTATTTAAAAAATTATTTTTAGTTGCCAGAGGGCATGTGCACTTACCAGTGAGAGACAGAGAGAGAGGGAGAGGGAGAAATCACCCCCAAGGGGGACATGGTAGCACCACAATCCCTCCTACTCCATTTCTCCATCCTGTAGGGATTTGGGGCTCACATGCACATGTACCCGGTGTATATTCCAAGCCACCCGGGCTGGGATTCGAACTGGGTGGGCCACGTGGGGTCAGACTCCCTTAACCGTTAGGCTACAGGGTGGCCCAGATGAATACGAGCCTTTACGACTAACTCAGCTTAGGAAGCCTCTTTCCCCAGCTCCCACGGCACCCATTACGCCCCCTGAGGCTCTCTCACTATCTGGTCCTGGCCTATTTGGGCACTCCGCAGCCGGGAGCCAATGGGCACAGGCAGGGCCACCTTGACTGTCCGCTCCTTAGTCCAGGGAGTGGCCTCTGCGTGGTGAGCAGGAGCTGTGGATCTCACTCATGGATCTTACTCGTTCCACAGTAGCCTCACCCCCCTTCCTGGCCTGGGAACCCTGAAGCATCCCTCCAGGGTCTGAATCAGTGTTTCTCATTTTCTCTCCTCACTCTCCTCTCCTAAGGGAGTCTCTTTAGACATTTGTCCCCCTTCATCAATCCCTCCCGGTCTAAGACATTTGAATGTCCCAGATAGACCATAACTGTGTCTTGTGTCTTAAATCTCTATGTGTGTTTTACATATAAGGAGTAAGGTTTTCCATCTCCGCCACTAAGAACCAGTTTTTATTACACTCCTGAAAATTAACACCAGCTCTGCTGAGAATGCAGAGACCTTGGGACCAGCAGTTAGCATAATGGCTATGTCACTGGACTCCCATGTAGTTGACCGTGGTTTGAGTCCCGGACCCGGTGGCTTAAACTCACGCCAGACGCGTGTGTGTGCGTGCCCAAGATCCCGAGAGGAGAATGGAGGAGAAGGGATTGCGGCATGACCATCCCCTCTGGGGGGTGATTTCTCGCTTTCTGTCTCTCTGTCTCTCTGGTGAGAGCACGCGCCCTATAGCAAAAATCTCAAAAAAAAAAAAAAAAGACTGCGGGGCCTTGACTCCATGGTGAGTAGATGCGCGGCGAGGGAGCCACTGTGCAGGCCCTACGGCCACGCAGCAGGTCGCTCAGGGACGGACGGCCCAGTAGGACCAGCTAACCTGGATTGTCAAAAGAACCTGGAAATCTGGACATTTGAGTAAAAAATTCTCAGATTTCTTTTTTTTTTTCTCTCCTTTCTTTTTTTTTTTTTTTTTTTCTCTCCTTTCTTCTTAGTTGCTAGAGGGCATGTGCAGTTGCCAGAGAGAAAGAGAGAGAGAGGAAGAGAGATCTCACTCCTCAAAGGGGATGGGGACACCAGAAGTCCTTTTTTTTTTTTTTTTTGAGAGGTGTTTGCTATAGGGCGCATGCGCTCACCAGACAGACAGAGAGAGACATAGAGACAGAAAGCGAGAACTCACCCCCCAGGGGGGATGGCCACGCCGCAATCCCTTCTCCTCCATTCTCCTCTTGGGATCTTGGGCATGCATACACACATGTGCCTGGCATGAGTTTAAGCCACTGGGTCTGGGACTCAAACCGCGGTTGACTACATGGGAGTCCAGTGACATAGCCACGACGCTAACTGCTGGTCTCATCCACAAGCTCTTCTCCTCCATGTCTCCATCCTGTCAGAATTTGGGGCACATGTTCACATACGCCCGACACCTTTTTCCAGATGCTGGGTCTGGGATTTGAACTGTTGTTAGCCACGTGGGATCTGGCTCCCCTAACCACTGGACTCCCAAATCTTCTGATTTCTAAACCTAACCGACTAATTCAAGATTTAAAAAATATATGGTAGTGGCCACAGAAAACCTCCCTAGAGACTGGACTCTGTGGGCAGACGCCAATGTTAACCTGCACGAAGCCCCACAACGTGTGTGGGGAGCCCGTGAGACCCAGCATCCAGCCAGTGCCTGGGTGTGTCCCCCCAGGTCCGGGTGCTCCGTGGAGTCACAGGCCGCTCTGCTGTGGTGTGTTTGGCCGCTGTCCTCGCGATGCCCGGGGTAGGTACCTCTCTGGAGCTGCTGGCGAGCTTCAGCATGCGGTCAGCGTACTCTCTGGCCTTGTCGTGACGGTCCATGAGCCAGAGGAAGAGGCCACCATAGTACAGGGCAGTCTCGCTGGCTGTCTTGCGTAGATCCTTCAGACTGCTTTCCAGCTCCTGAAGGGCTTCTTGGTCTGTAATTCCAAGCGTGGAGGAAGAGCATGTGTCAGGATGAGGAAGTCTGCTGTGGGTTCTGCAGGGGTGCTGGGGCCCAGGAGATCTCCCGAGGCACCCTGGGTCTCCCTCAGTGCACGCAGCTGACTCCATGCCAGCCCAGGGCCTGCCCTACAGGGGCTGTCCAGGCCTGGACTCGTGCTCCCGGTCTGAGAGTTCCCTTTCTACTCTGTGCCCAGTGATTAGGCCAAACCTAATCCCGGGCCTCATGAACCACAACCCGTCCTGGCTGGAGAAATAGCAGTTGGTTGTGTCTCTGGACGCCTCTCCCTATTTTTTTTTGGTTAATTATTTAATTTAATTTTATTCATTTTCATTACTTTATTTATTATTAGTATTTGTTGACCAGAGAAAGACACAGAGAGAAGGAAAGTAAGAAAACAAGCTGCCAGGCCCGGGACGCGAACCACGGTCAGTCATGTGAGAGTCCAGTTGCCTCAACCCCTGACTTTTTAATTTCCAATAGTCACAGGTGCTCACCAGAAGAGAGGGAAAGCAAAAGGGAGAGAGAAAGAGCGCCCCCTAGTGGGGTGTGGTCTAGACACAATCCCTTTCCTTCATTTCTCCATCCCATCAAGATATGGGGCATTGGGAACCAGCAGTTAGCATAATGGCTATGTCGCTGGACTCCCATGTAGTCGACCGCGGTTCGTGTCCCGGACCCGGTGGCTTAAAACTCACGCCGGGCGCGTGTGCGTGCGTGCCCAAGATCCCGAGAGGAGAATGGAGGAGAAGGGATTGCGGCGTGACCATCCCCCCTGGGGGGTGATTTCTCGCTTTCTGTCTCTATGTCTCTCTCTGTCTGTCTGGCGAGCGCACGCGCCCTACAGTGAAAATCTCTCCAAAAAAAA